GTTTTTGTTGTCTTACAATGCATAGGTGCTTCCTCTCTTCGCTTTGAATGTGATTATCGTGCCATCTCTACGTAGGTATTAGAGTACTAATACTTATGATCTACCTACATAGACATTGGATGGTTGGAAGACAATGGAGAAAAATAAAGAAAAGACGATAAAGAAGAACAACCAAAAGATAAAGAGGAGGAAAAAAAGAAAACGAATAACCATCATGTGGAAATGAAAAATTCGTATTTGTCTTAGTTCAGTTGGTTTGTGGGTTTTACACACTTATTTAATAATGCATTTTGGGTGTTTCATTTTACGGGTTTGTTTTATTTTGATCATATACGTCTCAATTGTTATGATTTTCTTGATTCACATTATATAAAATTTTATTTGACAAATTTAAACCTCTTGAGGGCCTGCGCAAGGTGTGGACAAGACACCTAGTTTGATAATACTACTTAAAACCGTTTTCATAAGAAAATAATTATTTTGGCAAGAGCGAAATCTGATTTTTTGAATTTTGCTTTTGCTTTCATTTGTTCTATCTAGTTCATTTGTATCATACTGTCAAGTAAAGTCAGTCAAACCAAAGTACAGACATCATGGACAGTGTCAAAGCCTCAAAGGGAAGTTCCTAAATAAAACAGTTACAATTAGAAAATAACTAATTTAATAATGTCGACCCTAAAACAAATGGTAAGATGTAAAGTAGTCAAAATGCTTGATATCTATCAAGATCAATGCGACTCATTACTGCATTGATCAAACGTTTTTTAGCTGTTTTTATTTTCCTTTTCAAAATTAAAACGATAGTACATTAAAATATGTAACTCAAATACGTTTCGTCAAGCTAATTTACTAATTACTAATTTGTATCCCTACTTCATTTTTATCCTATAAATATGATCAAATAGCTAATCACTTAACTCATCAAACAAAAAATTGTACTTCTGAGTTTTTTTTTTCCCCAACATATTCATCATGTCGATCAAGAATGTATGTTTTCTCATGGTGGCTATTTGCATTGCAACTTCTGTGAATGCTCAACTACCTCAATTTCCGCTTCCATTTCCATTTCCATTTCCTTTCCAACCTAGTCCTGGCATGCCAGGAATGCCAAATATAACCAAATGTTTGTCAACTTTGATAAATATTCCGGGATGCTTTGCAAAGATCTCTCAATCTATAATAACCGGAAAATTTGGTAACATAGGTCCTGCCTGTTGTAAAGCTTTTCTAAAGGTTGAATCAAACTGTACACCAAATCTTCCATTCAATCCGTTTTTCCCTCCTATGCTAAAGCAACAATGCTCCCGAATTGCTGGTCCTCCAACCACATTGTAGGATTAAAAAATAGTTATGTAAAAACTTCATTTTGAAATTCGTGTTAATCCCAAAATGTTATAGAAACAAATAAACAAAGCAAAGGTCTAATGATAATGTTGCATTTCTTATGTTTCAGTAAATTATAACATCAGAAAGATATTCATATAATCCGAAGTAGAACTGCTTCTCTTGATTGATGAAGAAATAATTTCTGCTTTTAGATGTCAGTGTATTTGTCCTTATAATTCATTTTCGATCCTTATTCTGCTAGATCTTAGTATATTGTTTTATATGCCAAATGCTTTTTTAAGATGATGATGACCATACACAATAAAAGGATATATCATCAGACAAAACTGTTGAGAAAAAACAAAAATACAAACAAACAAAAAAGGAGCAAAGTTTGTCATCAGAAATCTTGATATCATCTATTTTGGCTGCCATTATGAAGTCAGTCATGCTACTTAACTCTCCTGAATTGTTCATCCAAGAAAAAAACAACAGCAAACAAATCGTTTTAAGAAACCTATAAATTATTAAAAGCTCCAAACGTACGAGAATGTTTGTCTTGTTTTAAATATTTTTGTTGGCATACCAATGGAAGCAATGGATAGTTCGGCACCCAAAATCCCTCACTTTTCCCGGGAGCTAGTTTGATTGTTTGGAGTGAGAGAGTTTAAGGATTTCGGTTTTTTTTGGGTTTAGGAAATTAGGTACCAATCGGCTATTTTAAAATTTTGGATCGGGTTCGGTTTGGATTTGGTTTGGTTCAAGTTTAGGTATTAAGATCCAAAATTTTTCAAGATTTTGTTCGAACTGGAACTTAACGTATGAGGAATAATCTCGCGTACTCCTTCCGCATTATAGAAATTCTCAAATCTCCTTCTCATAATATTTAATTTATTTTTGATTTATTTTAAAGCAAAAAAAAGGAGAAAAACGGTCAAATACTTGCAGGTCCTTACTAAAGTTTCATATTTACTAACCCAACCACGAAGATCCACACCCAGTATGTCATATCGGGTTGAATCCGAAGAAATCGGGTTTTGGGATGGTTTTCGGTCAAAATTGTGGTAACTCAAACCCTAATTTTTTTTAAAAAAATTCAAATTTTGAAATCGTCATTTCGTTGTCGTTTTCGCCTAGTATTCTCTGGGACAACTACGAGTGATTTGCTGCTGCCTGTCTTGAATCAACGCCTCGCTAAATCAGGTTTGTTCGTCTTCGTCCTCTGATTTCTAATTTCTATCTAGATTACTTTGTAGATTTCAACTCGGTTTTGTATAGAATCTAAAATTTGATTTATATGTTCTCTATTCGGTTGGTAATTATAAAATAGGAGTCATCAGAACATAAGGAAGTACAAAAAACAAAAAACATAAGACAGAAAACATCAGACACATTCACCAGTTGACCATATCAGGAAAAACCCTAACTATCCGGTACTCATATAGTAAGAACCTTTCGCATTAGCGAGTTAAGAAGCAGTAGTCGCAGATGTTCCCTTGTTTATACTCATCATTCCACCAACGCTCCCACTGGTTAACTGTACCGCATGGACAGTGGATAAGAGTATTGAGGCGCAGTAAAAAGCGACAGTGGCTTTCATCGAATATCTCTGGCAATCCCATTGGCCAACCAAGATATACTTCTTCAACGAGATCGGAGGTGCACTTCCTTAATGTTTCCCGGCTTAGTTTGATGAGGTACTCATCACCCTCGGGATGTTCTATAACAAGTTTCATGAACATCCCGTAGACATATACTGCACGCGTGTACCCTCCATCCGCCGCATCCTTGATCAGTAGAATCCCTCCAAAATCATGTCGACGAAAAAAGAGTTGCATACCTTGTATGAAAAGCATGCCTGGATTTGGTGCATCATAGAACTCTCTGAAGACATCAATGATGAGATGGACATCTTGATCCTCTGGATGACCCATATTAAAGGGATCAACTTCAGCGTAGAAGCCAGGGCCTCTGGTGCAGTCGTTGAACCTATGACAAATCCAGCGAATCCGTATTAGATCACCAATTGTGTTAGCCGATTTTGCTAGAACCTTTTCCAGTAGTTCGTCTGGTAGGGCTAGTAGGTAGGAGTACTCTACCATGGATTTATATATGAAAGTGGTCGAGGCCGAGTTTTGTGAAAGTTCTGAAACCCTAAGAGAAAATGATGAATTTTGTAATATAAAAGGAAAATCTGAACCCTAAGAGAGAGGAGGAAGGAAAAAGTGGAGATGGATTTGGGAAAGTAATGAAGAAGTAGAATGGATTTCGAAACTTCTTTTCGAACTTAAATAATAGAAAATGGAGGAAGTGAGAGGAAGTGAGTAGTCACGTCGAATAAACACGAGTGTATGAGAGAGAGGAATATCGGAATAAATGCTACTCTTGTTAATGCGTTATTGCTCTCTTTATCACTTCAAAATTGCCCCTAAGGCGTGGATCATGACTCATCTGAGGGAGTTGGTGCGGTTTCCGGCGAGTGGGTTCAGTACAGAACCGGTGGCGGAAGACATTTACGAATGACAATCAATGCTGTTGGGCCTCCCTAGTGGTCCATATGAAGGAGGCATCTTCTTCATCTCCATCCGTTTCCCACCGGATTACCCCTTGAAGCCACCAATGGTGTCGTGGAAGACGCCTATTCTGCACCCCAACATCGACAAACCTCGCGTCTTCCATCCGCTACTCGTCACCGCTACCTGGAAGGTTGAAACGACGGTGAAGGAACTCCTCCAAGCGCTCCATGACATGCTGCTTAACCCTAAGGTGCAGGAAGAGGACAACTACCTCGCAGACGTTGCACGCATGTGCGTCTTTGATAAGATCCTAGGTGATCAACTCTGAAGAAAAAGGCTACAGATGCTGCAATATTGTGGACAGGATGCAACGATGATGCGATGGGGTGGTGATGGTGGCTAGGCGTTCGATTCAACGGGATGATATGGGTGATACGATGATCGGATCGATGATGGTGATGGCTTGATGATCGAGTCGACGGGGTTGTGACAATGGTGTGATGATCGATTCTCAAACAAGGGAATGATATCGAGTTTGTGAGATAGAAGAATCTCTTGTAAACAGATTAGTTTTTAAGAGATTCGAATTTCAGAGTTTTTCTTGTTCTCAGAAATCAAAAGAGCGAAGAACACAATAAGGTTTTGCTAAAAATTCTTCACTGCTTATGACTTAAGCGATTTCTAAGTTATATAGACTTAGAGAAATCGCAGCCCTAAAGAAACAAAACTACATGAAGTTTTGATAACACCGTATTTTGACCACTTTTATGGATCGTTTTGAAATACTTTTTCTATGTTTTTAATTGCTTTTAAGTACTTTTATCACGTTTTTCTAGTATTTGTAGTTTCAAGACTCTTTTCAGGTAACTTAGGGAAAAGCTTAACAAAATGGATAGAAAACCAGATTTCAGCTCAGAGTCAAACCGTCAGAAGTTCACCCCTGATTGAAGGCCTTCTCACCGTCTGATCTTGCTCAAATTTGGAGACCTTAAATATGGAAGTATCAGCTTTCCAGTGCACTTTACAGCTTGGCAATCCAACGGTTCAATCAAAAGATACGCGAAGAGCAAGATGTCCCGTAAACCAGCCGGCAAGCACTTCCACCCACGGCCAACAAGCAATTTCCCGCGGTTAGGAGCATCCCGACCGCGGTCAAACACTTGTTCCCCGCGGTCACACTTGTCCCGACCGCGGCCTTCAACCTCCAAGCCCAAAAAGCCCATTTCTGAAACCCACATTTGGAGAAACCCTAAGTGACGTCCAGAGAGGTCTTGAGCACTATAAATACATGTCTTAGGAACCCTACATCATAGACCACCGAAATAATAACTTCATATTTTTATTGTTTTTGCTTTAGTTTTTAGGGAGAGAGAGATTTGTTCTCTTGAACCCTTGTTCTTTCTTTTTCAATTTCGGTTTCTATTCTACTTATTAATACTATTTTTTTATTTCGTTCATTATGTCTGAGTAGTTTTATTGTTGGGATTAAGGGATTTTCGATGGGGATTTGTATGTTCGATGAGGATTCCATGAGTATTTGAGCCGAATCTTAGAACTTTTTCTTCTGAATTCGTTTTTACTGCATGAGAGTAGCGTCATGAACTACAATCTGATCCAGATGCTTGGTGACACGAAAAAAAAGTGTTCATCCGGTGTCAGATCTAGTTTGGGAGAGCAAAACAAACATAGAAGTGGAAACCTACCTATGGGCGATAGTTGAATTAGGACAAGTCTTAAACATAATGCATCTCTTCTCTTCCAGGGCCAGAGTGGAAACCTACTGGTCAGGGTTGAGAGAGATAGTTGTCTATGATCACGACAGTGGCGTATTCATACGTCCGTGACTCCAGTTCGAAAAGTTTAAGCTAAGATCTTATCAATTTTACTCTCTAGCAATGTTTTGAATCGTTCGTACCCCTGAGAAAACTTCCCTGAAGCCCAACGCCTTCTTTCCCATAGATTTACACCGTTTTTATTTCAAGCTTTAGTTCAATATTGTCTTTCCTTTTTAGTAGATTTTCATTTAAGCAATTAGAATATCCGTTTTTCTCATTTTTAGTCATTTTCGTTAAGTTTAGTTATTACGCAATTTAATTCCCGTATTATCTTTTAAGATTTCGTTTTTACATTTTAAACACACTACCAAACCCCCACAAAACCGTTCTGCTTCTAGACTGCCTTACTTTATACTTATTTCAAAGGCTTTTTGCAGGAAAAGATCCTCATTCCCTGTGGATTCGATCCCTAAGTACTACAATCGATCAGCTGTGCACTTGCGGCTATTGATTTCATTTAGGGTAAAAATTGACAACCCTCGACACAACCACACCGACACACATCAAGTTTAAAATAAAACAACAGGAAGTTTGATTTAAAAATAAAACAGCGAGGCGTCCCTTCGCAAAGGAACCTAAGTGATGCGCCTAAAACTACTAGTGCAAAAGTCATTGTGACTTGGCACATTATTACCCATTAGCAACAACTTCTAAGTAACTCGACGTAGCAATGATTTCTGCCTCATTAAAAACCTTGGAGAAGAACCTCCTTCCTTCCAAAATCCTCACCAAGGAAAAGAGTACAAAATCATCACCTAAGTCACCTAGTAATTGTTACCGGGTTCTTTGTTCTTCAAGATAGAGATGTTGAAGATGTGAGCTTCAGCCTCCAGTTGATCGCTGTCCTGTGCGGCAATGAGAGCGTGAGCCTCCTTAGCCATCTCCCTAGCTCTTGAACGAGTGATCCTTCCAGCTATCTCCGGCTCCTCCTCCTCTGAGCTTGTCACGATCATATCATCCTCTCCCTCTTGAAAAGGATTTGTCCTCAAATCTGAATCTGCAACATAAAGGAGCAAGTCAGAAACATTGAAAGCATCAGAAACGTCATACTTACCTTGAAGATCAATCTGATAGGCGTTGTTGTTGATTCTTTTGATGACCGCGAATGGTCCATCAACTCTGGGCATTAGCTTGTTCTTTCGTTCAGTTGGAAATCGCTCCTTCCTCAGATGGATCCACACCAGATCTCCTTCTTCAAAAATCAGCTCCTTTCGTCCTTTGTTGGCATGCTTCTCATACTGCTTTGTCTTCTTCTCGATGTTCTCCTTAGCCTTAGCATGTATTCTTCGGACCTGTTCAGCTTTCTCCTTGCCATTCAAACTGCATTTTCCACTTAAAGGCAAAGGGATCAAGTCTAGAGGTGATTGTGGATTAAACCCATATGCAATTTCAAAAGGAGAAAAGAGAGTAACGGAATGCTTAGCGTGATTGTAAGCAAACTCGACATGAGGCAGACACTCTTCCCATGTCTTGAGGTAACTTTTCACCAAAGTCCTTAAAAGTGTGGAAAACGTTCTATTCACCACCTCGGTCTGTCCATCGGTCTGAGGATGACAGGTAGTTGAAAATGAGAGCTTGGTTCCCAGCTTAGCCCAAAGCGTTTCCCAAAAATGTCCTAAGAACTTCGTGTCTCGATCTGAAACGATAACCTGTGGCATCCCATGTAGTCTTACTACTTCCCTGAAAAAAAAATTAGCTACATTCACGGCATCATCTGTCGTGTGGCTAGCGATGAAGTGAGCCATCTTGCTAAACCTGTCAACAACTACAAATTTCTGGTTCGAGGTAAGCCAACTACAAAATCCATAGAGATATTGGTCCAATGTTGAGAAGGAATAGGCAAAGGAGTATACGAACCGTGAGGTTGAACTTTACTCTTAGCCATCTTACATACGACACATCTAGAACATATTTTCTCAACGTCTTTCCTCATGTTTGGCCAGTAGAAGTGCTCTTGTAGTCCAAGAAGTGTCTTTGTTACACCGAAATGTCCAGCTAATCCACCTCTATGAGCTTCTCGTACCAATATCTCTTGAATGGATCCTCGTGGTATGCACAATCGGTTACTGAAGAACAAGTATCCATCCTGTCTATAAAATTTCTCACAGGCAAACTTATGACATTTGGCATAGCTCTCAGAAAAGTCAGTATCAGATTTATAAAGATCTATAATATGCTCAAATCCAATCAACTTTGACGTTAAGGTAGAAATAAGAGTGTACCTCTGGGATAATGCGTCTGCGACCACATTATCTTTACCTTTTTTTGTACTTAACAATGTAGGGGAATGTCTCAATGAACTCCATCCATCGCCCATGTCTTTTGTTAAGCTTCTGCTGACCCTTGAGGTGCTTCAAAGACTCGTGATCGTTATGAATGACGAACTCCTTAGGCCATAGATAATGCTGCCACGTCTGGAGAGCTCGAACCAGTGCGTATAACTCCTTGTCATATGTGGAATAATTCAACGTTGAACCTCCTAACTTTTCGCTGAAATAAGCGACGGGCTTCTTATCCTGCATAAGAACTGCTCCAATACCTACACCAGAAGCATCACATTCAATCTCAAAAGTCTTAGTAAAGTCAGGAAGTACTAGCAAGGGCGAATTGATAAGCTTCTCTTTAAGGGCTGTAAAAGCCTGTTCTTGTGCCTCTCCCCACTTGAACCCCATGTCTTTCTTGATTACTTTTGTTAAGGGCGCGGCTATGGTGCTGAAATCACGAACAAAATGCCTGTAGAATCCTGCTAAACCATGGAAACTTCGGACTTCTCCAATATTCTTAGGGGTTGGCCACTCCTTGATAGCTTTTATCCTCTCTTCATCTACTTTAACTCCTCCTGCACTTATTACAAAGCCTAAGAAAACAATTTCGTTAGTGCAGAATGAACATTTAGATAAATTGGCAAAGAGAGATTGAGAGCGAAGAACATCAAGAACCGATCTGATGTGGTCTAGATGTTCTTCCAAACCTTTACTATAGATGAGGATGTCGTCAAAATAAACCACTACAAACACGCCAATGAATGGTCTCAGGGCATGGTTCATTAATCTCATGAAGGTGCTGGGAGCATTGGTGAGGCCAAATGGCATAACTAGCCACTCGTAGAGTCCTTGCTTTGTCTTGAATGCCGTCTTCCACTCATCCCCTTCTTTCATTCTGATCTGATGATACCCACTCTTCAAGTCTATCTTAGAGAAGATTGTCGATCCACAAAGCTCATCCAGCATATCATCTAGCCTTGGAATCGGATGCCTATACTTCACAGTGATGTTGTTGATAGCTCGGCAGTCTACACACATCCTCTAGGACCCATCTTTCTTTGGCACTAACAGAACTGGAACCGCACATGGACTCAAGCTTTCTCGGATATGTCATTTGCTCATCAGCTCTTCCACTTGCTTCTGCAGCTCCTTAGTCTCTACAGGATTGGTTAGGTATGCTGGCCTATTAGGTAATGCTGATCCTGGTACCAAGTCAATCTGATGCTCTA